AGGTCAAGAGGAAGGCCGGTGTGCTCTTCGGGCACAGAGAAGAGAGTGGGCACGGCTGTTGTAAGGGCTTCCTTCAAGAACGTGGGTCCCTGTGTCGCAGTGTGGGTCCTCCCTGGTGGTGTAGCACCTCTTTCCATGGGTGTGAGAACGTGCACCCGTCTGAGCTCTGCCTCAGGTGGTGGGAACACTCACACCTGAGATGGTTGTCACCACCGCTTACTAAAACAACTGCCGAGCAAAGAGCGCTGGCTCGTGGTGGTTGAGTTATCTCAGCTGGCAGGATAGAGAGAGAGGAGGGGCAGAGCTCCCCAAACTGTTTCCTTGTTCTGCCCTAAGCCCCTGCTGCTCTCACCCTCCCCAGCCCTGCTCGCAGGAGGGGCTCATTTCAGCCTTCACATTCAGCTCTGGGTGCAGCTGGCGGTGGGTTCTGCAGGGTGGGTTCTAGGGGAGGAGGGATACATTGTGCTGGGATTTGCTTGTCTCGCTTGTGTGTTCTGCATCCTCCCTGACGTTGTTTTCGCTTTTATGCCTGTTTCAATCTGCTTTTCCCCTCGCACGTCCCCAGGAGCGGCTCTTATGGCTCATAGACCTGATGGAGGTAGGGACTGTCAGCGAGACGGGAGCTCGAGTGCGGTGGTTGCCATAGCAGACGGGCTGCGAGTGTGTGTCGGGTGGGGGGCGGAATGCAGGCTGTCCAGGGGACGCATGCGACTCGGCCACGTGAACCGCTGCCTTGTTTCACCTATCTCTGCATTTTCTTCCCATGGCTCTGCTGAGCCGTTCCAGAGTCTTTCCCTCACACGGCTGCAGGCCTTGGTGCTGCAGGGCAGCCAAGACTCAGCCTTGAACCAAACCCAGCTGCTAGCACTGTCCTGCTTGAACTAAACCCCTCAGTGCCACCGACGGCTCCGGGCTGCAGTTTAGAAGGACCAGAAGCATTGATGCCTGATGGACCCCAGGCTGCCCTTCCTGCCTTGTTGCCTGCTCTGCCTGCTGCTGTGCTCTGTCACTGAATGGGCACCCTGGCTAAATACCAGTAGGCTGGTCACATCCCATCAAGCATTCTCTGGGATGGGAGAAAATTTTTCCTTACAGGCCTTGGGTCTGCAAAAATGGGTGCTCTGGTGCAAGAGGCAGTCGATGTACTCAGACTGTGTGTGTTCAGCCTTGCAGAAATCCTCACACAGACTTCAGAGAGGCTAGGCATGGAGCCTCAGAAATCCCTCCGTCTTGTAACAGAGCCCTTGGTTGAGAGGAAGCTGAGAAGAGCTGCAGGCTCATGCCCTGCAGCGCAGCTCCAGGGTGTGGAGTGCATCTCCTCCTCCTTGTCTGGGGGGAAATCCTGGGGGTCAGCAGGTTGAGCGTACAGCAAGTGGTGGAGCTGAGAGCTGCCAGTACTGCTCTGGGGGAGAGGACCTCTGGCAGCTGTGAACCTGGCCCAAAAGCTACATCCCTCAGGGAATGGCACTTCTCTAGGAGAGAGTAGCTGTAGTGTTCCCAGACTGAATCTGTCACAGGCACTCTGAACCGTGGGACAGAGATTTCTATGGCTTCCTGGCCAAAGGCAGTAACACTAGACCAGGCCCCTTGTCCCGTCAGCTCCCCCTGGGTCCGTGGGGGAACTTACTCCCAAAATAACCAGTGTGAGGCGGATCAGGACCTGCAGTGCAAAAAGTGGTTCTGTTATGAGATGCTTGTAGGATACTTGGAGATGAGACAAAGCCGTGTTTGGTGGTGCCACCCACAGGTGCTGTGTGTCTGCCTCGCTGTCAGCATCACCTCTTGTAAGTCTTGGATCTCAAGATGAGTCCTACGAAGCAAAGGTTAATTGTAGACTGCAATAATCAGATGCAACTTGTCTGATCAGAGTGGTATGACTGTCTAATTGCTTACCAGCCAGGCAGTCTGGCTTTTCCTCCTGCTCCAGCCCTCGTTATTAGGATTAAGGGATTGAAATCCCATGTTGATTTTGTTTTTCTTCTCCACCGGGTCCTAGCAAGGGCGCTGCCATCCAAAGGTTCCTTCTCCCAGGGCCTGATTCCACAAGTGCTGACTTGTTCCCAGCTCCCTGAAGCTGCAGGATTAGGCCCAGTGGGGCAACCCTGTTGAGTTGCTACCCCCTGTGAGTCTCTGATCTCTGTTTCACAAGAAGTATAAGTAAGCAGAGGATGGCACTGAGCTGTTCCTCTCCCTGGAAAGTGAATCTCCAGCCTCACATCCTCCTCGACTGCTGGCAGATAATCTTTGTGTCCCAGAGGGAGAGCAGAATGAGGGCAGAGAGAAGGGGGACATCTTCCTCACCTGTGCCCCCCATTCTAGGGTGGGAGAGAGGAAGAGGGAAGGACAGAAGAGGAAAGCTGAGTTTGTTCTCAGACTGACACAGTTGTTCAAAATTTAAACCCTGCGGGAGTCAGGCTGAGCAGCTCTGCAGAGCTCTCGTTAGCAGTAACTGGAAAATAAGGGAGTCATTTGGAGCTGGGAGGTTAATTAAAGGTTGGGTTCTATTCCCCAGGGAGGTGGCAGTTTCTCTACCACTTAATCTGAGAATAGAAATTGGCTGCTTGTCTGAAAGATGCTCTCCAGCTCCATTGTTCCTGCTGTGGACTCTGTGCAAGATAAGAAGGACAAAAGTTTTCCAGGTGCACCCCACCAAGGGGCTGGAAGGGCCTTCCCTGGCCTCCAGTTTCTATAAGTAACTAGAAAATAAATGAGGTAAAGGAGCAGAGAGCCAGTAGGAGGGAGCAGCCTCCTCAATAAATACTCATTTTTCAGAACAGCAGCACGTGGCTTCGATGGGTCTTTCAAGGGAAATCCAGGAAGACGCAGTCTTAAAATAGCCAATTCCTGAAAGCAAATGTGCTCAGCTTAAAAGCCATTACATTTTATAGCCCAGAGCAATTTCTATTTAATTGCTTTTGCCCCCAGAGTACTAAAGCCTGGGGAAAAGAAAATCTCCTGCTCACACACTTCAACATTAAAAATGTGCCCTGAAGAAGACGAGGGGTGTCAGTGTCCCCGGCTGTAGTTCAGGGAGAGCAGAGCCAGGGCAGGGGGTCAGAGCTGGCTCACCGGCTCTGCCCACCCTCCCTTTGCCAGGAGGATCCAAATCCAGGTGCAGACTGGTCCCAGCTATGAGGCTGGGGCTGGGACACAGCATTGTGAAGCGCTCTGGGACGGGCTCGATGTCGTGGTGATGGGCACAGCTCTGTGGCGGTCAGGGGGGACATCGGGCAGATTCTTCCATATGAGTGTCTTGCTCCCGGTCACGTCGCAGGTGTCCAGTCCTTGTGCATTTGCCAAGAGCTTAATGAACTCTTGGAGGCAGGTTGAGGCTGGCAGAGGCAAGGCTGGCGAGGGAAGGGTTTTGAGATCCTCCCAAATATGGCCAGGCTGGTGCTGAAATGCCACCATCTCCGCCTTGGCTCCGTTCCTTGCGCACACAGCCATTTGGCTGGATTAAAGGCTCTGGGCAGCATCTGGAGGTGGGCTGGTGCAGGGGGAGGGTGATATTTGGGCAGCTTTCTGCAGAACAGCTTTCTCATTAGAGGGAACGATGGCAAAAGGAGGAAGATCTGCAACGAGCGCGCTGGTGCAGTTTGGTGCGGTTTCCCCCAGCTGAGCATCCTTGGCGTCATGCAGGGACGTGATGGCACTTGAGCTTTTTTTAAACTCATTGGCACTTCAGTCAAATCTGAAGACCTGTCACTAATGTGTGCACAGCCCAGAAGCTCGTGAACATTTTCATACGAAGGCAGGTCACTTTTGAAATAGCCCTGCCTGCCTCAGAGTTATGGTATCACCCCAGCGCTTGGATTTGCACAGTCCTGTGGCATGTCAGGTCTGGCTGAAGCCTGATCTTTCTGTTTCAGCCAAATCTGTCTTCTGCTCTGGTTTGTCCACATGGTCAGTAACCCAAGAAGGTGTGTGGGTTGTTTCTCATTTGAAAGCCACCTGCCTTTCCATTGGATTGATGATGAAATCAACCCTCAGCAGAGGAAGGAGTGGAAAGCTAATACTTTCCCTCTCACTCTCTGAACAAGCTGTTTCTTTTCGTTCTCATTCTCCAGGGTTCCTTCTGAAGCCACAGAGATAAAAGCACTTTCCATCAATGTTTTTGCTGCTTCTTTAATGCTCTTAATTGTCTCCCATGTCTATTTTGGGATGCTAACATCTTACAGACACAGCAGCAGCCTCCAGCAGATGGGGGAAATGCAGATGCACCAGCATTTCAACTAATCAGTTGTTTACCCTGCAATAAATAACCCACAGTTAAACACAAGCTGTACCCTGCCCACTCCAGCGGAAGCACACAAACATCTCTGTGAACATGAGGGACACGAAGCACACCCTTTCTGAGCATCAGCAGCGCTTCTCCAGATCGGGAGTTCCTGTGGGAGGAGGCTGCTGGGTCTGGGTTTGCTCTTCAGGGGAACTGGGCAGAGCTGGTGCTGTGCACCCTGGGAGAGCATCCCCTGGGAGAGTACCTGGGGCAAAGCCAGAGACAGAGCCGTGGCTCTAGACTGGGCTCAGGAGCAGCTGGATTTGGCCTCATCCAGGGCAGAGCCGCTCGCCAGCCCCCACTGCCCGTTCCCAGTGCTGCCGTCGCTGCTGTTAATCAGCCAGGGAGCCTCTTTGCTCTGCGTGACTGCATCTGCGTCCTCTCCTTGGGCCCATCCTGCCTGACAGCTGCCCCGGTGCAGACTGCAGACAGACCGACAGATTCCCAAAGCCCTTCTTGATTTCTGGAGCTGTGATGTGTTCAGAGCCATGTTGTGACATTTCCTGGTGACATTTTGACTCCTAAAGGGAAGGTGGTGGCAGTGGCTCCTGGTAGCACCTGAGACCAACTGCTCTGGCTTGTAAGGGAGGGAAGTTTAAAACTTTTCTATTGCCCTTCTCCCAGCGTGCAGCCTTCAGAGCTGGTTCCTCCCCATCCTCCAAATCAAACACCAGGAGCTGAGATTTAAGAGCAGCATGCTCCTCCACTACAGAAGAAACTCCCCTGGTGGGACAGGCTCACAGCAGGCTTTGAGCATGCTGCTTGGCTTGGGAGGGTCCTTTTCCCAAGCAAGTCGCTTTGCTTATACATGCAAGTCTTTAGGGAACCTCCCAGGAAACCAGAACCTTTGGGTGAAAGACCAGCCCTGTGCTGGGGGTATGGGTGATGCCCTGCATCGCTCTGCATGTTCCCTGTCATGCTGGCACTGTGGTGGTTGCTCCTTGCTGCTGTGACCTGGTTTTATTTTCCTTCCTTGTCCTATCAGAACTCGTCAGAATTGGAGGGAGGTGGAGACAGCCACCAAAGTGGCATCAACACCCTGCCGGACATCTCCCTGGTAAGACGCTGCACCTTGGGTGGGAGCTGGAGGCAAATCCAGTTCTGTCTCAGGTTCTGTAGTCTTTGCTACATCACATGGATGTCACTGCAGTCAGTGAAGTGAGTTAATCGGGCTGGTTAGGAATAAATATTCTGGCTGCCTGAATAAGAGTAGTGAACCAGAGCAAAAGTTGGGTAGTTTGTCCTCTAATTGTCCTCATTTGTGAGTCGTGTTCTCTTTTCCGTTAAGCTCAGAAAGGCATTTCCATGAAAATCAGTTCATTTTGCCGTGGTCACGGTGAGAAGGCAGATAGAGGTGACTGTGAGCTGGGAAAGGTCTCACAGCTGAGCGTGGTATCCTAAAGGCTTCTGTTCTTGGTCTGGCAGGATGATCTCTCCTCCTTCCCAGATGAACCACCCAACTTCAAGCCTCCACCTCCTCCTTCAGCCCCTCAGATGCTGGACCCCTCTGCTGCCCAGCACAGGAACCCGGGGAAAGACAAGGCCAAGCGCCCTTCCTCCGAGTCCTCTCAGTCAGGCCTCTTCTTCGTGGCCCCCCGAAACCCCACACCCCCTCCCAGCCACCCTGAGAAGGACACAGTCAGCATGACCTCCACTGCTACCACGTCCACTGAGGAGTCTGCCCCAAGCGCTATCTATGCTACCATTTCCCCGGCCCTGCACAGCTCCAGGAGGCAAATGGATGCTCAGCTCTCCTTGGTCAGCCAACACCC